TATATATATATCATGTACATAGTATATTTGAATACTAAGTCACTCTTACTTATTTGTCTGGCCCACTTAGCCGTCACCTTTAAGTGGGCCATTTCATTACATAATTCATTATGCTTATTCAGCACGCCAACTTTTATATTCGCTTCGTATTAAATTCTTTTACACATCCGTGCTTATGTTACATGGAGGATAGAATTGGCCCTGACAACTATCTTATTTTCATTATTTAATCTTGGCCTGGCATTAGGATTCAATTGGATTCCAGAAGCCCTGTTAATATCATATGAGACAATTGATGAAGGTGATTACGCTCCATTAAATCCAGCCTCAGTTTAGATAGGATGAAATGCAGACACATTGAGGTGTAGATAGGTTGATTGGTGATATGAAGTGAGGTTGAGTGATGAGGATAAAGCTCTAGGCGTTAGGACTGGGGGGAGGAGAGATGCGACTACGATTGGATAGTGTTGGTCAGGAGAATCGCCGTCAATTGTCACGTTGTGGAATTGTAACTCGATGTCAAGCATGCCGACAACATGTATGGGCATGCACTCAGCCAACTACCCGATGCTGGAAATCATCATGACAAAGAAGGCAGAACTAGGTATGTTCGCAAGGTCTTCCTGTCGCTCCGACAAAGTTGCTCAAATAAGATGATATAAACTAAATTAGTATCTAACCTCACTATTATTTTATAAAATAATCCTCACATTAGTCGTTTCTAATTGTATTTTCCATATTTTTCGCTATGTACTCCTTTATCTCTTCTTTAGCTCCCTCTACTCGTGTCCTCAGATCTCGTGGTAACATACAACCTTCAGATCCAGATCAACCCAAGCCGGTCCCGTCTCCTTCTGTCACTAGCTCTAGCTCCTCGAAGCGATTTACAGATTCACAAGCCAATATTGTTAGTACACGAACTCGAAGCCTCAGTGCCACCATCGAAGTCTGCTCTTCTTCATCCAACTCAAATCCGACCGTTTCGCAACTTCAGACCTTGAATTCATGTTTGGTATCTCCCCATCGTCGCCTCATGCCCACCCGCAGGTGTTCTCGAGCTCGTCCTTTCACTCCCATATTGCAGTCTACTCAGGCCGATTCTGATGATCCCAAGAGCAATAAGAAAGGTAGTTGTACTTGCCATTACCGATTATTACTCTCCTCCCTGATTCGGCAACCTTAAGTGAGATTACTTAATTTCAACCCAAAGTACTTATTTCTCATTTCACATTCAGTACAATGTACAGAGCTTTGGCCAAGTGGAATGTTTTTAAAGTATGTCTGTCTTCATTTTATATGAGGAAAAGCTGTAGGCGTGCTTATATGCCACACAAGTTTATGTGGGATAGCAGGCAGAGAAAAGAATTATGATTGGAGGTTTCTGATACATTCATGCTGGAGTGATTTCTCTGACAATTCTAAGCTCAACTTACTATATGTTGCTTAAGGTGATTTAATGGCTACTAGCTGAGTCTTTTCACAATAAGATGAGTATGCATCATGATGCCATGGAAGTTCACGTATCCTTGCCTCCTAAAACGCTATCACTTCAAGGCTGGACTGCTGAGATGACCTTATGGAAGGCAAAACTAAGCAAACTTTATTATATGAGTTGTGTTCACTCTATTTCGTTTAAGGTGATGAAGGACCGGCAGTTGAATTTTCCCACAATGATATGAGTAGAGCTGATGTCTTCTATTGCATTTCACATTGCCTTGTTTTCCCAAAACGTGTTCTGATCCAGAGTGGACTGCAGTTTCAAAGCAAAGCCAGCTTATCTCAATTCACGTCATTTTGCTTCTGTAGGTAACCGTTTATTTGTTTTCGGATTGGATTGGATGTTCTACTGAGTTATGTAATTAGTAACACTTTGTTTTTTTCGCTATCATGAGACCGATTTTCATTATCGCCAAGTGAAATAAAATGCAATAAATCAGGCATTTACTCAATTAATACCGGACATACCAACTATTAATCCAGCCCGAGCCTAGTTGGGAAGGCTTAATCTTGATAAGAGCAAGCCTTCTGACGTCTACGAAATATAAACCATTATTTCATATATCATTTAAGCAAGCTTCTACTTTTCCTTGTATCCTTCTTCTTTATATTCCTTTCCATCTCGACCTTGATAGGGCCACATTTGAGTTCGGATGCATTGTCTACTATCGCCAAGTCTTTGACGAGCCCTGTTGATCAAAGGCTATCTCCATCGGCTGATGATAGTCATCAACTTCGCATGAATTCCTCTACCAATCCTTCTGCTCAGTCCTCCCAGCCTTCTGAGACGAAACTTCCACAACCTGCAAGTGTTATAGCGGTGGAAGAGAACAAGCAAGACGGCGACAGAACCGAAGCACGCGATGATGACTCATTGTTGGCCTCTTGTCCCAACCAGAATCCAGACTGCTCAGGTTCCACTTCGCCAGTGGCACTGCTACTGTCGCCATCCAGACCTCTAGCATCACCCTCAGCTAATCCAATTCCCGACTCCGATAGGGATAGAAATAAAGTCTCTGAGACCTCCACTTTGCTGCCGAACGAATCCTCGAGCACATCACTGATGTCTGATTCACCTCAGCCTTCTTCGTGCCTCTCACCTAGGACACTCTCACCTCATGCTCATCCTAAAGTGCCATCCACTTCATGTCCACCTGTTTCCATCGCCGACGTCTCTGTCTCGAATGCCCCGATTACACTTGCTGACATAATTACAGCTGAGCTATCACAGAGTACTCTTGTCTTTTTTGAAACCGTATCTCGACTCGATTGTTTTAGCCAACTGATCCAGCTCCGAAAAAAGCTAAATTCTTCAAAATCAAATAAATCCTTCTCTCCTCAAATAGCGCCGGTTTCTGAGTTATTGAGGCCTCATGAAGAAAGTCTAGGGCAATCATTCTGCCACAGTCCCCACGCAGAGTCTGGCTCAAGAGCTTGCCTATCTTACGAACAAATTGAGCAAGTTGATGTTGTCCAGTACAATGACGAAACACAAGATGATGAAGACGA